GCAGTCATTAACCACATCAGCAACTGACAGCATTAATAGCACCATGGGGCTGAGCAAATAGGAACTGTAACATCCACCTGAAGAGCAACGGGCATCTTCACATAATAAACACTAAAAGACTGTATTTAGGGTTTAGCATCACGATGTATTTATTACTATTACCTAAACTTAGCTAAAATTGTATTCCATTAAAAAAAAAAAAAGACCAAAGTCTATACTGCTGAAGATGAACAGCAAAGTTTAGATCAAAACAAAACCTGTTAAAATTCCTAGCAGTTTATATACTACGCTGATGTTTCGTATAAAGCGCTTATATTTTATACCACATTTATACTACCTTTAGTAGTTTATTATAAACTGATGTTTGCACATATTGTTGCATCAAAGTGTAGCTAGCCCTCTTTTCAAGGTAAGTTGGAAAACAACTGTATCTCTATCATAATAAAAAAAGACACTAACTGTAACACAATATATAATGACATAGAATTTGTCAAATAATTCAGTAACTTGTGCAGCTGGATTTCCCATAAAACTTTGAAAGACAAGCATTTTAAGTCTCATTTCCCTAAGAAATCTGGTCAACTCTGGCAATCATAGTCACCATCAGTTTAATTTTGATCCTGTTAGACAACCTAACAGCCACGTCTGGCACAAGGATAGAAGTCTCAGAGATAAGGAAACTCCCATACATTTTATGAAACTAGACAGCTGACAGTAGAGATCCAAGCTAACATACACTGTGAATTTTAAGAAAAGCAGCCAAAAATCCACAGCTTGCACATTCTGCTTTGCTGAAGCTCTCGTATTATGCAAGTGAACTGCACATGCAGACACATCCGAAAGACCTAAGTATACACAAAAATTAAGTTTCGTTTAGACTCATTGCTCAGGTAACAACACTTTAGCTTGGTTTGACGTACTTAAAACTTCTAAACATCTACAAACTCTCATGGATATAAAGCTGTATTTAGTTATGAACTACAATTTATTTTTTTTTAAATGGTGGAGACTGTTAAAAGCCTATGTAACAATGCTGGTGAGTCTACAGTTTGACAGGGTGTTTTAAAGCTTGACTTGTAATATAACCAAGACATTTGAAACACCTTAGAGAAACAATAAAGTAACAGGCTTTATTATTACTACTTATTGTATTTGTTGTTGCTTAGGTCTGAATGGTGTAAAGAAAGGAAAACTGATGAAATTCTGTAGGCTACTATATTGGATTCAAAGCATTGTCAGAGAAGAATTTTGCCTGTAAAAAAGAGAATATTTTTAGAAATAAAAACTTTTCATTTGCTGTTTTACTAGAGAGCATAAATGAAATTTTATTAGAATTTGCCAACAGTACTTGTAATAAAAAATACATGGCGTTACCTGGATAAAAAGCAAAGAAAATATTCCTGGGGATTTGAACTGTGACCACAAGTAAATCTACAAACATGAAAAGGTAATTTCTGAATGAAGAACAGAAGGCTTTAATGCAGGAAAAAGATCTTGCACACAAGCAAGCCTGACGCTTTCAAGCAGAGGGCATCAAATGCAACCCTCAGGTAAAAGAAGGAAAACCATATCGACACGTCTATTACTAAAAATAGAGAAGCAAGTTTAAAGGCAAGAATACAAAGGGTGAAGAGACATACCTAAATGCTTTCACGCATCAAAATGTAATGTCTTTCAGAATTCCGTAGATATTTCCATATAGATAGAACAGCACTAGGACTCTAACCATACTTACCTCCTCAATTTTCAGCAACTCCTTTTTGGAAGTCTCCTTCTCTGAAGAGGAAGCATAAACCTGGATAGAGAGCAAGCTCAGGCTAACAGGGGTGGCCCCCAGCCGAATTACCTACAAACATTACAGGAAGAGATGTAAATCATTAAGTTCAAACAAAATGGCAACATGTTTGAACACATCCATGTAGACAATGTTTATGTTCCTGTATATGTTAATTAGTGACATATTAAGATGCTTTGAAGGTAGGAGAAAGGAGAGTCAGTGGTACACAATCTAATCCTCTCGGGCACTCAAATGATAACACCTAATTATTCAGATGGTATTTAGAAAAGCCCAAGGCTAAAGGAGACAGTAGATATAAATGCTAATCTCATCAGTTTTCATCTCACAAAAAGATCTTGTTTTCTCTCACTTGAAACATAATTTTTGTCAACTTTCTTAGTATAGATACTAACAACATTATATTCATATTTTAAACAACTTTGTGAAAGCCCGTAACACCTCCATTTTTCCGTAGTTAGTCCCAGGAAGTACCAAGAAGACAATTACTTCTAGTTATTGTCTGCATCTAGATTTAGGAAAAAAATGAGCCCTACAGTTGAAAGTATCAGAACATAATCACTGCTTTCTAAGAATTTTAGGAATGTCTCCTACTTTTCTGGAAGAAACATGAATTACAGCGCATCACGACAGATACTTGACTGTTTTTGAATACTTAAGATTCAATCCAGTCATACAACACAACCACCATGAGTAAGGTGAATATATTTCTTCCTATATTCAGGACGTACGCTAAATTGTATTTCTTAACAGGAGAGACTGCTTTAACTCAAAAAAAACAGAAGATGAAAATCTTAACTGTGTAGCAAATCAAGAATGTACAGAAAGCATCTTCCAACAAATGCACATCCTTATTAACAGCAACGCTTAACTCAAGAAACGGCAGTTCCAATGGGAAACCTTTCAATGTCTCATATTCACATTACTGCTCAGGTAAACGTGCAGAGTTACAACAACCTGTGGTTCGTTGTATCAAGTTACAGCGTGAGTGAATCTAACAGCCTGCGGCCGCCAAACTGGAGAGGTCTGGCTCTGCTCGTGGCATCCGTTCCCAGAAGTCCTGCTGGCTCACATTGCCCTAGCTTTGGTGGCCGGACGCTTCCACCGCGAGGCAATTCACCTCGCCAATTTGGCCAAAGATTAATCCTGAAAAAGAAGCGGAGAGCTTTGTGCAGGGTTAATAAGTTGAACCCATCCATGAAACAGCCTGACAGGCACCAGGGGAACTGTGTGGCCAGGGAAGAGGGGATGAAAAAGGAGAAGGCAGCAAGCCCTCCTCCTTTTCAGAAACAGTAAGGGTACATTACATTGACCTAGCTGCTTGTGAAACTGAAGTCTCGATCAAACCAATACATCCTTCATGCTGTTATGATGATAACTGACCTAGCATCAGGACAATTACTCTGAAACTTTGTTTCTGCCCCTTGCAGAACTGTTAGAAAATAGCTTTGAAATTATCCAGACTATATGCTTATTGCATACAGATCAGTATTTGCAGCTTAAATTTCTTCTACTGCTTTGCGGGCGGAATATTTATTAAACGTAACCAAGAGACTTCCCAAACTCAAAACTAGACTCTACAGTTGTCAAACTTCCTGAAAATGTTCATTTACGTGTAGAGAAACAGCACACAAGAACTAGGTCATAGGATTTATTTTCAGAAAGGCGTAAGGGATCTGATGGATCAAAAGGTATGGAAAAACTTGCTTAAAATTGAAGTTTTTCCTTATTTGTATTTATGGACTTATTATTACAGCACTATAATGAAACATCACAATGACCAGATCAGCTGTTTCACAGCCAAGGAAAGACATGAACAATCTTTAATAATCTTTGTTTAAACAAAGATTTTTCACATACTTTCATTAGCCAAGGTAAAAACGTGAACGTCACCAACCATTAATAACTGTAGAATACATTTCCTCATTCTTTCCTTTTTTCACTGCAAAACTGTTCTGTCACTGAAAAGGCAAAAATCTGCAAGGCACTTTCATTCTGAAAAATATGTTTTCAGTAAAATATTACTTCCTGTGATTTTTGGAACATTTAAGAATGAAACACACAGCTAGAAGAGACATCAAGACATTCCCGACTCCATTCACTTTCCTCAAAGCAGTTTCAAGTTTACTTAAACTACAGCTACCAGTTACCTGAAGAGCCATATTCAGTGCAAATATTTCATGTGAGCCTAAATTTCAAACAAGTCCAAAACTACAGACAGCTTTGGTAGAGCAACTACTAAATCAGTGGCACATACTACACCCAAAAGAGGTTAGCAGCAGAGAAGGCTTTTGAAATAAGCCCTAAAAAACACAACTTCAGAGAGAGCCACTCAGAGACAAGTGTCTAAAACTTAATTCCTGAATATGGCAAAAGTTTGTTACATGAATACACGTGCAGAGTTTTCACATCTTCTATTTAACATTTCTACAAGTGTCCCTTGCAGTAAAAAAAAAAAAAAAAAAAGAAAAAACCCAACAGCAACATCAAAAAATAATACTTTAATTAAAGTATAATTCATTATTGATAACCCCTGTTTAGGAAAAATAATCCAGTCTGATGTGTTAAACAACAGTTGTGGTTTTTGCTGCTATTCAACACCATTTATATTGTTTGAAAATTATCTAAATGTCACCAGCAGAAACAGTAAATCCAACTGCTGTAAATATTTGAGATTTGTATATAAAGACACACACAAACAGCAGAGCGTAAGAATGGAACCACCTTGGTTTCACAAACAAATATCAGTGATGACAGAACTACTCATACTGAAAACACCACATTATCAAAATACTGAAGTGCAAACATTTTCCAAAGGTTTCATCTTTACATTTTAAACAAAACAAAATTAACCACTAATAGTGCAAGAATAATCTCTCCTTAAATGGACTGTTCAAGCTATACTGCAATGGTTTTCTACATCAGCTAAGTTTATGGGACAGATACAACCAGCACTAAAGTACCACTACAAGGTTTATTCGGTAGTATAAAAGATTAACCGTTCTACTTTCTGTTTCCAAAATTCACTTTAGGATCTCATTTCTTAATTTCATATTAACCACGTATTACTAAACCAATTGGTTTAGTAAAACATTTTGATTGAGCTGTGCTTTCAGTCTGCCTGCCTTACAGCCACTCAGTTGATAGCAAAAAAGTAGAGCTGACGTTCTTCTCTCTAGGCAATGCTCTGCATTTACTTTAAGTAAAAAAAGATATTAAGTTTATTCCTTTCTCTAGCTGAAGAACTCAACTTTATCTGTAGACACGAGATCCCTCATAAGCAAGTTCCATCTGAAAGCTGGAGGGAAAAAGACTATCACATTTCATCTTCCATTGTCTTGCTTTACTGTCTTTCTCAAAGTTCTTAACTAAAAAATGCCTCTGGGAAGAATAAATCCCATATTAGTTCTCAATACAAACTGGGGGGAAAAGAGCTAAAGATTAACTAGAACTTTTGTCTTTTTTCCTCGTCTGCGGTTTCTCAGTTCACTTGTTACTGTTATTGTCAGCCTGTCAAAACTGGGGAAAGAAGCAATAAAAGGAAAAAAATCCTTAATCATACTTTTCTGAAGGCTGATATTTGCCCTCATGTAGGAAGGTGCTTCATTTTTCTCTTCTTTTTCCGTTCTTCCCCCTATTTCTCAAGCCCAACTAAAAAATCCAAAAACCCAAAAAACTAACTCTTGCGCGCACTCCTGTTCCCTGAAGCACAGATATCACGGACAAGAAGCCAGCTCCCCCTTTTGCTCTTAGAGGCAAAAATTCAGGTTGGCCTGAAGCACTGGCATCTGCCTAACCTCAGTGGTTGTATAAAAGTAGCGATATTATGCATAGTACCTCAACCCACGGGTTCACGCAGAACCCCTTTAATGACAATTCAGTGTCACTTGCGGAATTCACAACGATTATGAGATAAAATCCCTACATAAGAATTCCAGCAATTGCCCCAACATTACAGTACCAAAAAAACAAAGTTGCGACAAGAGTAAAGCAAGCATAGGCTGCTCAGCCTATCAATATACCCACAAACTATCAATATTTAACAAACAAAAAAGGTGCAAAAGAGAACGGATGTCACAAACCAAGTGTCACCATTTTTCCTGCTTCTTGAGTAGTCACGACAACAATTTGATTGAAACATACAGCTTGCTTTTGGCCTGAAGGGATCTGGGGGTCTTCTTATCAGAGGCAAAGACCTTTAGGACAATTATCTGATTTAAGCCCAGATCGTGCACCTTCACCCCTTTCCACAGATTCTGCCGACTCCCTACATGCAATAAAGGGAGACTTTCAAGGCGAGGGCTTTCGCAACTGTAGGAATCCAAACTCTGCAAGAGCACCAACGCGCAGCTCCACGCTGCCGTATTCAAGAAGTAATTTTAAATAACGAACGTGGTGTTCGTGCGCTTCTTTTTGTGCCACGCGGATAGGGCAGGCGATTTGGAGATCTGAAAGGGAGAGGTGATGGAGCTGCAACGAGGGCGGGACGAACAGCTGGCGGGAGCGACAGACAACGCTCTCTAAAACACCCCGGGTACAGCTGCCGCCGGGCGATACGGATGTCGCAACGGTTTTAGCTCGGACGTGAAAAAAATCACTCGCTGGTAACAAGGCCAGGGTCTTCGCCACCGCGCCTACTCAACCGAGTAACTAAAACCCGCTTTAAAACGGGAAGCGGGAGAAACGGGGCCCTGCCG